GCTTCTGTAGCCTTGCCTGCTACCAACAAGAGTGCCCTAAGAAGCCCAGGCCCCTTCTAGGCGGCCACTGAGCCATCCCCTGTGACTAGGACCTCTTAGGCCGATGTGCCACCCCGTTTTTACTTCTTGCAAAGAAGCACAAAGGGTCAAATCAGGACACAAGGGCCGGAGTAGCTAAAGAGGCAGGGGAGAAGCCAAAGGCTCTGGTAGTGCTTGGTGTGCACAAGTGTAATGGATATTGAGAGAGAGAGAGCACTCACACCGACATAGCGAGCATGGGAAGACAGGAGAAAAAATGGAGGCCCAGATGAACGAGCTTTAAATTAAAAGAATACATGAAAAACTATGATTAAATTGATTTCTGCTTAGTATCTTTGGCTCTCCTTTTTCTGTCTTTTTCTCACTGGTAGTCGTGGTGGAAAGAGGGGAGTCATTGATTTTAGGGCCCAGAAGTGAAATAAGCAAACAGAAGTTAGGATTGGGGAGTTTGAGGAAGTCACCCAAAACTGCACATAAAGGGACTGAGATAATTATAGGCTGTTGATTTTTAAATGCAGCTAATTAAATTAACGCTCCCTTTAACAGGTGTGGGGGACTGTCAGGGTAGGGTGTGTCCGATTACAGACATTTTCCTAGAGCTGTTTCCACCCCCTGCCCTTGTATCTGATTTTATGTACTTCAAAATGCCATTAGTTCACTCAAGTGACTTTAGTTCTATTGACAATGTTAATTCTCTGCCTGTACAAACCAAAGGCTACTCGGGATAAGCTGATTTTTGTTTGTTATCTGACAAGACTTGAGATTACACTCAACTGATTTTGGTATGTCTCCCTTCAACCTAATCGTATTGGACTTCTCTCAGCTTAATCATCGGAGGTGAATGCCTTCTTGTATTATATTTATACCCGAAATAAAAGTCATGTATAATTTAAAATTAGCTACAGTAGTTTGCAAAAGGATGCATGTAATTGTGCAGGTTTAAACTATCAGTAAATTGAAAGGTCAGTGTGAGTGATCACACATGTACTTTAGCCAAAGCTGGTTCCAAGTGCAAGTCTAAAGGTCTGCTTCTCTTCTGCCACATGATTAATTTGTTTGTGCCAGAGTTACTGATGCTTTGTGACCAGAATCATGTCAGGCAGGTCTCAGCAGGTTTGAATCAATATGGTCCTACGTTGTCACTGCATCATAATTTTAATTGTCCCTTTCTATTACACTTAGCAATCAGATAGCAGGCAAGACTGAAATAACAAGAATAAACTTCTAAAGAGACAGAAAGGTTTATTTTACAAAATTATAGTGGGAATAAATCGTCATGATTGGAATCTACTTCTAGATTCACGTGTGTGTGTATGTTGCTAGACACACATATTTTACATTTAATAGTACTAGAACATAGCTACTTGTGAAAAAGCCTAGGCCCATACCATCCTGGTGTCTTTTGAGAGAGCTGGGACTCTTGCCCAGGACCATATGAAGTGGAAACAAAACCAAGATGATCAGAAAATGACATTCTATGTGCTGATTCTAGCCTACCATATTGAACACTTCAGTCTTGCCAGAAATAAAATCCCTTTGTGATGAATCCTTATCAGTCTCAATTTGCCTTACTTTTCTGACACTTTTTTTTTTTTTTTGGTCTTTCCTAATCTAGTCCTTCCCCTCTGATGGTCTTTTTGTCAACAGTCTGGCCTTCCATCTCCTCCTGACTTCAACAGGAGACAACTATCATCATAGCACGTGACTTAACAACCGATGCACGGTTAATAGGCCACACCTCCAAAGAGGGGTGCACCCAGCAGGCAGCCCCTGCTGTTAGCAGGCAGGTTTTCAGAACTGTGTGAACACTTTTAATATATTACCATTCCTCTGGGAACCAGCTACTTTTCTTCCCACTTCAGAAAACACATAATGAGACTTTGTGTTTCAATTTAACATCCCTTGAAAACGGAAATCTTTCCCCTTATAAGAAAAAAATATTAGTAAAGAGGGAGACGAAAGGCAAGAGAGAAATGAATTAGGCAGTCTCCAAAGCACACTGGTTCAACTGGGAAACTACGACCAAAGCAGCTCCGTAATAGTATAATGACCTTTAATAAGTGTCTTGGGAAACAATACAGCCCTCGCATGAAAGACAAAGGGCAAAACCCATCATGGCTCTGCTGACACTAATTCAAAATGATTTTCAGAACAACTAAAGAATGTAAGAGAAGTAATCTGATCCGCCCATCTGACCTCACTTTGATTCAAGGGCCCTTCTCCTGCCATTTCTAATTGTCAAACCCTCTACATTTCACATCTGTTCATATTTAATGAAAAGCCCACTCTCACTGCTGCTCTTGAGTGAACTTGCTCTGTCAAATGGGCACCACCCATCTCCACCACCAGTGAGGGATGCCTGGGGATTGCTATTGGAGCGCTGCCAGTGGAATTTCACGTGGAGACAGACATTTTTTTAATTGGAGAAGAGGGGCTTATGTGAGCCCAAGAAGGGGCTCAAATTGGAAAGGATTTTTCTAACTTATTAATAATGGTCAAAGGTGAGTGGTCCCACATAGGGATGGATGAAATCTGCTTTTGTTTGATGGAGTGGTGACGGCAGGATGACTGATGAAACAGAGAAGGCAAACCGCCCCCTGAGCTGTCAATACCAGTTAAGGCTTCAACATGCAGCCCAAAGCTCCACGTGTTCCCTGGTGGGGGCTGATTTTGGAGGCATAGGAGGGACAACATGCCACTCACAGAATGTTTCTCAGAGGATGGGACAATCCCACCCCAAGTTTTTCTTCTCCCTGGCCTCCATCAATGCTTGGATTAAGTTGCACAGCTGAGAAATCCCTCTAATTATGGTTTCTCTTGGATATAATGAAAATTACACATTCTGGGCACCATGGGGTCTATGCAGGGGACATAGAGTTTGTTGTGATTGGTATTGTTGGCTAGTGCCAGGACATGCCCACGGGGCCCTAGCTCAGAGCCAGAGTGGCTCCTTTCTTTTCTCCACTGAATCTAGGCCAAGGTTTTAGAGCCTGGTGTTTATTTAAGAACAGAAGTTGCGCATTAGGCAGAGGGTAACCCGGGTGGCTTATGGTTACTTTCACCACCATCAATCAAAAAGATGGGACCACATTGTGCCACCTCAGGCCCTCCTCTGCTCGTCCTCCCAGCACCTGTCTTTGAACTTTGTGTCTTACTGCACATAGTAGACAGATGGGTTCCCCGTAGTGGCATATAAACCACGAAGAGCTCTTAAGGGGTGAATAAAGTGATAAGAATTCATATGGCAGCATCCAAGGATTTTAACAGAAACCTTTCCAAGGTTTTAGGCCCATGTGGCAGTCCACAATCCCTCTCCGTGCAACCTCCTTTAGGTATTACTTTGAAGTGAATTCTGTCCCTTGGCACCGCTCTGGAGGAACAGGAAATCGTGAATCAGAGAGGATGACTCTCCGGTCCTAGATCAAAGCTTTCCAAATGCCTCTAATACAGCTCGGGGCACAGATTGTGCTTCACACTTGAACTTCAGGCCCAAACATCAGCACCCGGCATGGCACACAGTGATGTCCCAGCTCCGTCAGCCCTAGAGGCCTCATGGATCCCTGCCACACAGGCGCACTGCACTGAAACCAGCCTCAACACTGGCACAGGGGAGTCAAGCCAGTTCATTTTCCATGGGAATAAATGCTTAAGAGCTCGATGCTCTTCTTCCTCCTGTCATCAGTGTACACCTACCCCTGCTGGGGGAAGTTTAGCTAAACCAGCTGTGAGCACTTGGAAGGTGAGAGGACAGAAAGCAAGAGGTTAGCAATCAATGTGTTGGGTGCTTTAAAGAGGAAAGGATGAAGTGCAGAGATGAGAACCATCTCCTACCTTCTATGCTACCAAAATGTGAAAACACAGTTACAGTTACACTTCCAGTAAAGCCCTGCAGTGGAACCACAGCCTCTTCTGCCCTTGGACCAAGACCACAGGCTCAGAGTCTCAAACTGGCGCTTCCAGGAACTTCACCGATGAACCATATCAGCAAAACAGCAAAGTCTATGGTGAAGGCAAGGATAAGGGAGGTCTCAGGGAACTGGCACATCTCAGCCTTGCCAGCTACTAGCTGCATAACCTTGACAGGTTCTTTAAACATCTCTGAGCTTGTGGATACAAAGAAGACTGACATCAGAGGCCTTTGACATGGACTCAGGGAAATCACAGAGGTTTCTGACTTACATTTTTTGCTGGTATTTGGAATCACAATTGCTACAAGACACCTTAGTTATACAAGGACTACATTGTTGGACAAATAAAAGAGATTAATAAAGCAGTCCTTTAAAATAGTCATCTTTCTGAGAAAAAGCTCTGGAATCCACCAGCCCATGCAGTCTGACAGACACAGAATACTCTTTCCCAGAACACAAGACAAAATCTGGCACTGGAGGAATGAGGCACAAGTCAGAGAGACACAGTAAAAAGAAAAAAAAATTACATATATTAATATATATACACCCATCTGCATCAAAACTCTGTTGCATTTTGGGAACGATCTAATAAACTATCTAAGCTCACTAAAAGCAATTTAATGCTAGAGCTGGCTTGTTCTCTCTACACATTTTCCTTCCTCCCTTTGATACAATTCAATTTAGAGCCACTCCCAAAATATTAAGATGTACACTTCCACATATCTCTGTATTAATACAGTAGGTGATATGCTGTCACTTTAATTTCCATTTATATTTATTTAAAGGAGAGAGAGGAAAGATATCACCAGACGGTAATATCACAGTCCTGCAGGCTATTACAAGAAGCACAAGTTAAGAAAATCAGAAGGGAATCCTTCCTCAGCACGTCCACAGAGACACAGGCAGCTGGGGTAACATGTCACCACACAGGAATTCACACTGGGAAAAAGACATCAGCCCGACTGACTCACAACCACAAGGCACAGCACAAGACAGGGATGATATCACAAGACAGCACAAACACGGAACGGCGTGTGTCGAGGTTAAACTTACAGGCACGGAAACTGGTGGAGCAATCATTAACAGAGACAGAAGAAAGTGGGAAGGCTCTCTCAAGGGTGTCCACGTTACCACGCACACGGCCTGACATGCACGAGCAGTCACGCTCAGAACGTCCGCAATCAAAACAACATGCCCGTCTCATTCTCTTGTAGATGGACATCTTGGCTATAACCGTGTGGTTGGATGGAGGAGAGGAAGAGCGGCAGTTAATGGCAAGGTCACACACAGCAAGGCAGCTGGAAGGGAGCTGAAGGGATTTAACACAGGTCTTAGTTCACTTTAACAGTCTTGACCCAGAAAAAAATGCAGAGTGATTGTTGGTAACAGTTTGGTTGTACATCAAAAAAGCAGCGAAAATATAAATTGCCTTTATCGTCCCCCAAGGCTGTTGCACATGATTTTCCTTCCCTAAGTAAAGCGGTGACCACAGGAAAAGGGCATGGCTGAATACACTCGGGTTCTTGAATGGGAAGAAGAGCAAATTACAGACAGCAAAAAATGTAACAACACTTTTCCCCTGATACGATTGATGCAGGAGGACAAAATATACACACTGCCAATCAATTAAATTAATTGCTTATTTGGCACAATAAATGGTCTTCGCAAGATGCAAAAACATCTAATATGTAGGCTTTCTAATTTCCATCCATTTCTGGGCATTAGGCAGAGGCTGGGACAAGCTTTCATCAAATTAGATGGTAAACGATTACGTGTTAATATAGGATCTGAGGATGCCTTTGCTGAACTTCCTGAGAGTGAGCTTACATGATGGCTACAGGAATTTAAATTTACTCTTGACAGAACAAATATCCAAATCTGTCCATATAAGAAATGCAGCTACTCAAGACTAATGTTGCAGATTTCACATTAAAGGCAGCTCACAAATAAGAAATCACCAAAAGCATACGAGATGTTGCTCTATTGGAATGCATTTAGCTACTCATGGGTGTATTTTTCTGCTTAAAGCTGAGAGGATCTGAATATCGCATCTGCCTTTCTCTCCCCACCCAACAGAAATTCAGGAAGCAATCAGGCTAGTGGATAATCATATTCTTTTTTTTATATATATACAGAAAATATTGGCCAAAATCAATTAAAAATGATAGAACATGAAATAAAAGAATGGGTTTCGTGTGAAATATCTTAATGCAATTTGCATGCAGCATTGATAGCTCTTCTAAAGCTGGTATGGTAGGTTCGGCACTGCCTGGGGATCCAAACTGCGTGGTAACCTATAAAAGTTGCTGGAAGTCAGCATCGTAGTTTCCAATGCCCTTCCCCTTTGCCATTCAAGCCAATTTATATTTCAGTACAAGAGAAGGTTTTTGTACCTCATTTTGATGCTACAACAGGCAAACATGTTTGCTTATCACTTAGCATGAACTGGCCTGCTTCTCTCACGAGGTGGGAGAAGAATTCATATTTATTCTAAGCACAACCGCCAAACAGTGAAACTAAACTGAGGAGGTGTTTCTCCTGCATCCACACCTTCCATTTTGAAAGGTCGTTTCCCCCCGCCTCTTTCTTTTTCTTTGGAGAGAATGGTTGCACTCTTATTTTAAAATATGGCTGTGGTTTTGCCCTCTTTGAATGTTACAGTCACCAGGAAGAGGGGTTTTAAATCTCTCAAATGGGTCAAGTCCTGTTCTAAGACCTTTATGACTTGCCATACAGTATATTTGTCAAGCAAGGGTAACGTTATGATTGTGAAGAACAGGCACTGGGGGAGATGAATGAGAGATCTCTTCAGCAGCAACTCCATTCTTGTAAACTTGGCTCACATTTTTAGTGACATGTTCTTTTAGTGTCCTAGCTAGTCTGTTGTTCAGATCATCATGCAGCCCCAGCCCTGTTCGATAGTGGTATATCATTCCTTTGAGCTTTAGCTTTTACCAAA